TTTATGATTATGCATTATTCTTTTCACCCATCATGAAGATTTTATTGGCAAAAACAATGCAGAAAATATAATATCAAAAGGAAGATAAGGAATGTATACAGAATAAATCAAAATAAACATTTCACAGGGTCACCAGGTTCTTCCTCAATTCTCAAATGCACATTTTTAATCTTTCAGAAATTAAAATTTTCAAATCCCTGTCTAAAGAAATCTGCCTGCTGCCAGGCAAAGATGTTTTTAACCATTTCACCGTCACTTCACTGAGTAAGGAACAGAAATTCAAGTGAAATTTGAAATTCCTAATCATCGAGTTTTTTTAATAGCTTCAAGATATTACAACTAAGTAAAAATGAAAATTAACTATTTAGAGAAGATAGCTTGTTATATGCCACATAATGTAATTAAAGGCAGGCAAGATTGCCAAACTCTCAAAATAGATCAGAAATGGTTTGCTTCTTAGAAAGGCTGATTTGAGCAGTTCATATACCCAGGACTTTCTCATCACTGGCAACTGAATGATTCTGAAGCTTCTGACTAGAATCCAACAGAATCCGCTTAACTTCTTAAGGATATTTAACTCAGAGGAAAAAATCAAAATTAAAAGTTCAACAAACAGGGAGTCTTCTGTATGCTTCATATCATTCTCAATTTAAAGGTAGTGAATAAGTAAAATCATTATTGTTTAAAATAAACGGCCTGTTCCTATAATACTGTGCCAAACTACCAAGGGCAAAGGTGATTCAGAAAAATCCTAACACTCAATGTGAAAAAAGGCTTAGTTGTAATCTTTAATTTTATACTAAAGAAAAATGTGGCATATAACTAAAGATATAATAAAGATACAACATTTAAATTTTATGTATTTTTAATGTAGTATCTTTTCCCCACTCCCCCCTCAAAAAAAATCAAATAAATCATAAGTCACAATCTTTTGGCATATCTAAACACAATATATACATGATGCTACAGCTGTCACGGTATTTAACTTATATTTCAAAACACATGTTTGAGCCCCGAATATAGTATTTCTGAAAATAACTGATGGTTCAGAAAATACAACTCCTATTCAACCAACACTTTATCACAGATGAAAAAAACAACATACAAAAAAAGTTTATCTGATCAGAGGTCAGTAAAACTGAAAATGGCTAAAAAATAGAATTCAACAAGCTCTCTATCTAATAAAGGAACCGACTAAAACTAACAACACATAATTTAATAAATGTAAAGTCCTGTGTTGAGGGTAAAAAAAAATAATAAATTCAAGAAGCAATATTACAACAAAAAAAGAATAGCTCACTTGAGAAAAAGCAATATTAAAAATCATCATACTCGAGGGCTGGGGCTGTGGCTCAGCAGTAGCATACTTGCCTGGCATGTGTGAGGCACTGGGTTCGATTCTCAGCACCACATAAAAATAAATAAAGGTCTATCAACAACTAAAAAAAAAATATTTAAAAAAATTATCATACTCTAGCCAGGTGCAGTGGCGCACACCTGTAATCTTAGCAGCTCTGGAGGCTGAGGCAGGAGGATCGTGAGTTCAAAGCCAGCTTCAGCAATGGCAAGGTGCTAAACAGCAGCTCAGTGAGACCCTGTCTCTAAATAAGATACAAAATAGGGCTGGGGATGTAGCTCAGTGATGGAATGCCCCTGAGTTCAATCCCCGTTACCAGAAAAAAAAAAAAAAATCATACTCTTAAACTGCATAAATAAGTGTGTCTTGCTTTGGAACAATAAATATAGTCTCCTTGTTCCCTTTGGTTAGGGGCCTACTGTAGCTCTAGCACTAAGGTTTCTTCCAGGCACCATCTAGAAAGGGAAGAATTAATAAATTTGAGTTTTACTAAAGGAGAATGAGTAAGACTTTCTTTTACTTAGCAAACATATACTATATACTGTGCTTCAGGGACCATTTTAAAGACTTTATAGATTAAGTCACATGAGGAATGAATGCACAAATTAGGAATGTTTAACCTGAAGGAAGGGATATATGATAGAACAAGAAATAACAAGAGATTTGAGTTCTACAGAAAAACTCAGAGCAAAACCTGTCTGTGAAGTTTAATTTTAAGTGCTAAGTGGGAAAACATGTATTAAAGAACTTTGTCTGCTATGAAACAAAACGTACACATTATTAGAATTAACTTCCTTGTAAAAGAGTAGATCTCAATCAAGAGAAATATTTACAAAGAAACTAATCATGGGCTTAGGAGTATCAATTATTGCTAATTTTAAACTGCAATTCATACTAAGTATGTGACTTTATTAAGTCTCCTTGTCTCTCTGGCTTCACTTTTCTCACCTTTAAAATGAGGAGAAAAGTATCCCCTTCTCAAGGCTGTTGTGAGGATTAAATGTGACAATGTATGTAAACATTTAGCATGATGCTGACACAATAAATTGCATATGTAATAATGATCATCATCATCGTCATCATGAATATCTTCAGAGAATATAAACTATATGATACATGGTATAATTGGATGGCTCTGCTATGCACCTGCCTGAGTATATCTTTCTGCAATGTACCTATCATGTTACAGCAATCCAAATATAATATGGAACTTGATTGGGTAATTTAAAAGGCATTTTTCTCTTAAAATTTGAAAGGAAAAAATACCCTTAAAATCTAAATAAAGTATTCTGATTAGTAAAATATCAAGAATACAAGTAATAATGCAATAATATAACAGTGAAATTACAAGAAAAATTTAAAAAGACTAAAGCAGCAGCACATTAAACAGAAGCTACTCTTCCCAGGAAATAAAAGAAATATATACGGGCGAGGAGGCCCAATTACACTTTTCACAAGTACTTGAACAACTAGTTACATTCATCAGAAATATCAAAATAAAGGCAGTTTCATTTAAAAAGTGAATTTCAGTAGAGTAAGAACAAGAGTTTAAGGATACACAGAATACTAATTACTTTGAATGGAATTTGAGCTTTAACAAATGTACTTCTAAATGTTGGATTAAACAATACGAGAGCCCAACTACCTAGCAATTAGGTAAATTCAGAACCTTCTAATATTCATAATCCATGTCTTCTTGTAAATGGAGTTAACTCAATAGGAACCTCTAATCTGCTTTCAGAGATATTTCAAGATAGTAAAATTTTAAAGGCAGTGGCCCAAATCTGAAAAACTTCCTAATGAATGACTAATAAATTAAAAGTACAACTCTTTCCCAAAATGTTAGAATATAATTCTTTCCAGCAAACATTATGCTTATTATAGTACTAACATGATGAAATAAATAAAATGTAGAAATAAAAAACTAGGGTAGCTTTAAGGTACTTTTAGGGGGGAATCTGACTTCTCATAAATGATAGATAGTGAAATTACAACAATTACAATGCAAGTTCCAAAAACAAGTGTTGTTAGAGAGCTGTAAAATCAATAGGAAACTTATTTCCTTTTTTAATTTGAATTTTTGTCTTAATTTTAAGTAAGGAGCCCAGAATCCAGTGGAATTAAGGGAGCTTATTTCACAGGCAGATAATCCATTAATGTAATTTTGTGTCATTTTTAGCACAGAGCTGAGTGTATTCTAACAAAATGTATACAATAATTGTCATGTTAAAAGCAGAACCATCGACAATATTTACTAACTGCTCAATTTAAAATGACATTTATTAAAAATTAAAACAGTATCAGTATTCACATTAGTTTTCATTAACAAATTTGCTTTTGCTGATGCACAAGGCCCTGGGTTCAAATCCTGTACCAAGAAAATAAACAAATTTACTGATGCTCAAATATCAATTCAATCACGTTACTCTTTAGAGAAACAAAAAATTTCATCTGACAAAATAAGGCAAAAGGTAGAAAGACAGTTCTTCAATAACAGATATAGTATTCCTGCCGGCACAGTGGCACACGCCTGTAATCCCAAAGGCTCCAGAGGCTGAGGCAGGAGGATCACGAGTTCAAATCCAGTCTCAGTAAAAGCAAGGTGCTAAGCAATTTAGTGAGACCCTGTCTCTAAATAAAATACAAAATGGAGCTGGAGATGTGGCTCAATGGTCGAGTGCCCCTGAGTTCAATCCCCAGAAACCACTCCTTCCCCACGGAAAAAAAAAAAAAAAAAAAACATACACACACACACACACACAATTACTTTCTCATATAAGCTATGATGAAATTACTATGAATATTATTCCCAGTCACAGTCAAATGAGACGTTGCTAATAGCAATTATATACATAAAACTGACAATAAAAAACTACTGAGAAATCACTTTAATTGTTCTAGGGGAAAAAAAGGCAACAAATTTCTAATGTGTGACGTTCAAAAAAAATCGTCCTAAGTTTCTTGAGAGCAAACCAAAACCAAAACCAAAACTAAAAAAAAGAAAACACCAGACTGCCCAATGACAGTTGAAATTACAAAATCACAACCAGATACAGTCAATTTGGGATCTGAACTGAGTATGAAAGAAGGTGGGCAATTTATATGTCCAAAATTAAACCTTGGGGGGGGGGGGGCTGGAGTTGTAGCTCAGGGGTAGAGTGCTTGCCTCATACGTGTGAGGCACTGAGTTCGACTCCCAGCACCACATCTAAATAAGCAAGTAAAATACAGGTCCATCAACAAACTAAAAAAAAAAAAAAATTAAAATTAAATTAAACCTTGGGATGGGAAGGACAGAAAGCAAAAAATAAATAAATAAATAATTTCATAAACAAAGAAAGGAGGCCAGGTTAGATAAGGAGAAACCTAAGGATCAGTTTATGCCTGTCTCAAAGATATACAAAACAACTTCTCACAGTAAACTCCAAAGTGGGCAAGGAAACATTCTTTTTGCACCCACAGGAACCAACCTCCTTACCACTAGTAAGCTAAATCATGAATCCGACATGATTTACTGGTATTTGGTCCCTGCACGATAGGTACAGGAAAGGAGGGTCGGCTGGAAGGGAGCCTAGAATTCCAGAGACCTGGGGGTACACACCCAACGCGGAAGGAAAGGTGGAGAGGGGCTAGCACTCCTCACCGTGATTATCTTTCTGCCCGATATTGTGTGTTCGGATGAGAGAGGAAAGTCTCCTCACATCCCCCTTGAAGACGCACTCGTGCACCGGATAGTGTGCGGGGCAGTTGCTTCCATCCGCGACGACTGCAATAGGATTGGTGCCGGCTAGGAGAGCCGGGGACTGAGAAGTGGTAGTCACGGAATTGTGCAGCGGCAGGACCGGGGCACCAGGGGGATTGGAGGAGGCCGGAGCTGCCTTCAACTGCAGCCGGTGGTGATGGTTACTGAAGATCTTATGACAGGCTTTGCCGCCCTTGCCGCTGCTGCCAGTGCCAATCCTGCCTCCGGTAAAGGTGCCGCCGAGAGCAGCTGCCGCTTCCTCATCTCCAGGCTCCAGCAGGTCCCCCTCTTCTTTGCTGGGCTTGTGGTCCCTCCGCAATGAACGGATCTTCTCCCCGGTCATCACCGCCGCCAGGGGCAGGGAGTAGATGCGGCAGGCTCACCGCGGGCGACGGAGCTGGCGCTGCGGCGGCACGAGGTGATTAGAGCGGCGGCCAGGAGCCTCCAGCGCAGCATGAACTCCCAGAGCACCTCCGAGCCCGGGACAAACGCATCTCCTGGAAGAAAAGCCGGCTCTCGCCTAGGCACCAAGAGACGCAAGCTCGCTGAAGGGAGCCACAACTCTGGTACCCACGACACCAGGATTCCAGTCCCCGCCGCCGCAGCTGCAGCAGCCACCGCAGCCGCCGCCACTGCCTCACACCAAAAACCAGGGCACCGCCATCTTCCCTTTGCTTGTCTCGCGAGAACTCCCTCGGGAACGAAAGGGAGGAAACACCGCGATAAGTGTGCTGCCCCCGCTCTCTCTCTCTCTCTCTCGCACCTCCGGAGTCCCAGTCTCTCTTGCCCACAGCGTGTCGCCGCCCTCAGCTGGAGTCTGGAGCTGGAAGACACAAACTTAGCCGTCCTACTGGCCGCGCTTCTTGTGGGCGGTCTGAAACCTTAGCCAGCATTGGAGGTGTTTGCTGCACGTTATACACAGTGATTAAACCCTCAGACCTCCGAGCCTCCCTCAGAGTGCAGAATGACGCCATTGCACACAGGATGTGATGTCACTGAGATGCCACAGGACATTCATTCAATAAACATGTACTAAGCACCTACATGATGCCATGCGCCGAGCTAATAGATTTATAAAACGCCTCTCCAAACTACAAAAAGCGCTTAGAGGAGGAAAGACAGTTAAATATAATGTTTAATAGTGCAAGGAATGAAGCAGATGTGGGGAACTGGGTTACACCAAAAAGGAGAGGACAGATTTTAGTATTGGGATGTCACAAAAGTCATCTTAGATGAACTTAAGGACTGACCTTAAGGAGAGGCCTCTTAAATATTTGTTAGATGAATTAATTTGGGGCAGATACCGGAGTTACTGTAGTGGATGCTCATAAATGTCAAATAATTGTGCAAGTAGAATATCATAGGATTAGTTCATGTCCAATCTCAATATTGTCAAATTCTAAAGAAAGGTAAATCTAACAACCATAAATCTTTGACAAAGTCACCCAAACTGGTGGAGGGGTGGGGTTTACAGAAACATTCTAAAGATCTTTACCCATTTCTCTTTCCAAAGTCCTATTTACTTTTTGACAGCTGTGTCTCTCAAATCTCTTCTTTCTTTATTCCTACCCCTATCATCTCCTTCTCCGGGAAAACAAACAGGGCTGCTGAGTGTGGCTCAGTAGCACAGCAGTGCTTTGCTAGCATTCCGAAGGGGAGAGGGTTGCAAAAACTTGTGGGTCTCTCTTCATCCTTCCCTGTAACTCAGGTTTTCACCTTTAGTCTGTTTCTGCTTCCAAATATTTTCAAATCAATCTTTCTCCCTTTCTTTCTGTCTCTCCCACACACTTTTTTTTTTTTTTTGGTGTGTATGTTGTGGGGGAGCCACTTTCGTTCAAATATTACCCATTCAGACCTCAAAGGAGCCTCCTTAGAGAGCAAGAGAGACTGATAATATACATACAATAATATTTTGTGCTTTCACAATAGCCATTATTTATTTTTAACTCTAAGCCAGGCAATACACTTGACATTTATATACTGTTATGTCCTTGTGATAAGCATGATCATCTTCTCTTGGAAAAAACATGCTCAATACCTCAATGCTAGAATGTGGCACAATTTTAGGACTAAAGAGATAAGAAAGGCTACACCATGTAGGCCTTTGTATGTTGCCTTGAAAGTTTAGATTTTAAGCTGAGCATAGTGGCTCTCATACTTGTAATCCAATAGGCCCAGGACCCTGAGGTAGGAAGATCACAAGTTCAAAGCCAGCCTCAGCAATTTAGCAAGACTGTAAGCAACCTTGCCAGATCCTGTCTCAAATTTAAAAAATAAAAAGGGCTCAGTAGCTTAGTGTTTAAATGCCCTTGGGTTCAATTCCTGGTACAAAAAAAAATTAGATTTTATCCTTTAAAAAAAAATGGATAGTCTTTTAGAAATTTTAAACAGAGAAAGAGCAAGAGGAGATTTGTTTTTAGAAAAGTCACTCATACTTAAGAAAAGTATATATAAAGAACAGATTGCAAGCTGGGGATATAGCTCAGTTGGTAGAGCACTTGCCTCACTTGCACAAGGCCATGGGTTCAATCCCCAGCACCCCCCCCCAAAAAAAAAAATTACAAGGGGCTACACTAAAGACAAGGAAACTAAGAAGCTATGCATGAACCAAACAGTAGTAATAATAAGTGTTAATATATGCATGCAGAAGTTTGGTAGAATATTATATATCACATGTAGTGAACAATGGTTATCTCCTAGAGATGGGACTGCTAAATCATATTCCATGGACTGCTTGAATTCCTTTGTACAAAGGAAAAGTATTACTTTATATTAATAGGAAAAATAAATTAATTTTTAAAAGAAGTGTGCAGTTGCTGAGTGTGGTGGCTCATGCCAGTAATCCCAGTGACTCGGAAGGCTGAGGCAGGAGGATCTCAAGTTCAAAGACCGCCTCAGCAATTTAGTGAGGCCCTAAGCAACTCAGTGAGACCCTGTCTCTAAATAAAATGCAAAACAGGGCTGGGAATATGGCTCAGTGGTTGAGTGCCCCTGAGTTTAATCCCAGTACCCCCCCCAAAAAAAATAGTGTTCAATAATTCAGGTGAGAGATGATGAGTGCATGAAACAAAATAATAAGAATGAGGCTGCAGAAGTTTTAAGAGTTAAAATTTTTTTTTTCAATCTTGGCATACTGAGTCAAAAATTCTTACTGCTTATCCAAAGGAAATTAGATGGTATACATCTTGAAAATTTCAGCAATGAATCTTAGGAGATAGAGAACTGAGTTCAGACCAAATACAGGAGTTATCATTATACAGTAATTGATGCCCCAGGGTGGCTGAGTTCCCTGAGGGAGAGAGTGTATAGTGAAAAATTAAGAGGAACCAATATAGGGCAAAAAAAAAAAAAAAAAAAAACCTTGAAAATACAAACACTTAAAGGATCTGCATACAAACAGTGCTGCCTCTTGTTATCAAAACCTACTATTATTAAAAAAAAAAGCAGAATATTCTACCATTTATCTGTGAAGCATCTTATCACTGGATTCAGAATTTAAAAGTACTTTATTAATGGCTGCCAGCCCTGGATGAATGTGAAAACTCCTAATTATCCATCCAGTAAAACCAAACACTTTAGACATAAAAAATGTTCAGCTCTTACATTTAAGGGCTCATTATATAATAGTGAAAAAGTGACATAGAAATATAAAATTACATTATGAAAAATATATTATTGAGATTATATGAAATCCCAATAGAAACCGGGTACAGTGGTCCATGCCTATAAACCCAGCAGTTTGGAAGGCTGAGACAGGAAGATCATGAGTTCAAAGACAGCCTCAGCAAAATCAAGGTGCTAGGCAACTCAGCGAGACCCTGTCTCTAAATAAAATACAAAATAGGGCTGGGGATGTGCCTCAGTGGTCAAGTACCCCTGAGTTCAATCCCCAGAAATCCCTCCCCAAAAAATCTCCAATAGGATATGGAATAGTTATTAATTCTATCTGGAAGCAATATAAATCAGATGATCAGGAAATCTTTCTGAAGGCAGCAATGTCTGAATTGGGTTTTAAACAATATATATGAATTGGGCAAAGCAAAAAAAAAAAAACTATTTGATTTAATCCTTGCTATGAGTACCCACTAACCCTATATTACAGAGTAGGAAAATAAGGTACAAGAAGGGATCACTCAGCTAATGAGTATAGTTAAAGAGAATGGAATGTATAAATGTAGCATGATATTTGAGAATCACTGGAGAAAAGTAGATGACAGTGGTAAATGAGAATAGAAAGGAAAGTTGGGGTAAGATCACAAAGAGCAATGTAGGAAACTTCAGCTATCTATACTAAGTAAATGGAGAGTTTATAAAGATTTTCAAACACAGTAAAGACAGTATCACATTTAATCGCCATAATGTGCAATCAACACTTCTTGTACCCATATTCCATAGGTTTTGCCAAACTTTCTAGTTTCACCTCCTACTACACTTTCAAATTCACTCTTCAATCAACCAAAGTAATCTTCTAACTTCCTTAACCTCTCACGTCTCCATACTTCTACATGTTATTCTATATGTCCAGAATTCAGTTCCATTTTACACACCTAGGTAACTCCTTCAGTCTGTCAAAAATTAGTTCAAATGTTCTCTTCTTCTCTGGAGGGTTTTTGTTTTGTGTTTTTACCCAACATAGAAATCAGGACCAGGAATTTACATTGAACTAAACTACTAAATAAAATTTAGCATGTCCTTTTATTTTGAACGTAGGCCACAAACCTCAACAGTATAAGCACTAGCAATATCTGTGTCTTTGTAACCAAAAGAAACCACAGAGATCTTCATACTCCATTATAGTTGAAATATCAAAATATCTCTTATACTTATTAATTCCTAAAATTATGTTATTACCCTGTTAGATCTTCTTTTTTAATGAAGTAATAAAGATGTAAATATATTGAATCAAAAGTTTAATACTTGATAGCAATTTCAATACACTAAATTTCCTTGGTAATCCCAAGATTATGCATTCAGAAATACTATTCTGCAAATAGATTGCTAGAGTTCACCACACCACCAAAGAGGTCCATGACACAAAACCAAAAGTTGGAAGCCCTTCTTTGAGGTCTTTCTGCCCTTCCTTCCTTTTCTTCTATCCAATAATCCAAAATTCTAAATTAGGTATTCCCTCCTTTTTCCTTCTTCTTTTTTTTTTAAATTTTTGATTTCCCATTATAATTTCTGTATGCGTCCTTGGTTCTTTTGACTGCCTCCTCAACTAGTCCTTTGAGGTCTCTGGGTACTGAAGGATTTATCACTGCAATATGCATAGTGTCTTACAGATACTGAATGCTTGCTATTAGCAATAAACAGTTGTTGAATTAACCAATCAATTAAAACATAAATGCGAAAGTATCTACAACCTACCAAGACATCTATAAACTCAGTGATGAGATACCAAATAAATAATCCCAATCTTAAATTGACAATTGCTTTCCTGGATTCTTACGCAAAGCTCAAGAGTGGATATAATACTTAGGATAAATTATAAATTTTTCATTCATAATTAAAAGTAAATTCAACTGAAACTGGCTTAAAGGCATGTATTCACATAATAGAGAAGTGCGGACACGAGTCAGCCACCTCCAAATCCCACATCAGTTTCTTGATCACTCAGGCACTCTGTGTTTGGAGCGCCCTCCTCAGGCCAGTTTCCCTCGAGGACCCAAGATGGCAGCCAGCGGTGACAAGGACCCGTCCTCCTGCAGGGTCCTGAGGTCCGCGACCACAGAAATTTTACCTTCACGACAACCTTGTCCACTTGGGAGATCCTACAGAACGCTGATTGGCTCAGGTTTAGGATACGTAAACAAATCCCTGAGGAGGAGGTGATGACCCTGATTCGGTTTGGCCAATCAGGACTCACCTCTGAGAAAGAGG